TTCAGACTTGCGAGGATTTCTTGATGGATTTTGCTAACAAAATGTCGGACGACGAAGTGAGTGAATTTTCTCATTATATGCATATTTAATCCGTAGATATTTAATTTATTATACATGGGGTCAGTTACGTAAGTCCGGTTTATATTAAGCGACCGATAGCGGGAATCAAACAGTGTCGAAGTAATAGTGACCTTGTTCCCAAAATCGATTACCTACACGTTGAAGGGGTCGAGGAAATGTCGCATTTATTAATACTAAAGTAGTGGTAGTTTCGATTTTTATATCTATAAATATAACAGAGTGGAGTGCGTGTGCGGTTCTCACTATATTGAATGTCACCAGTTTCACGAAATTACTACCATTTTCTTCAGTACTATTATCTTATCAAAGTGTTTCTTTTGTATCAATAAGTAGAGTACATCCGAGTCTAAGGAGCTTTCGAATGCGAGTAGTAGAAGACGTCGGGTCTTTCTTTATATAGGAACATAAAGCAGAGATTAGGTACACTAGGTATATAGTGTTATATTTATTACTCTGCCATTTTTCTCCTCTCTTCTTTACTTTTGGGTTAGTTATCCGTCGAAATATGGAAGGATAGCCTTCTCAAATCAATAGGTACGTGGCACCACGTCTCTTTTTATATATCGAGTAACATCGAATTTTTCTGCACATTTTTATTTTTCCGTGATGGGTTCAGAAATGAAATGACTCTGTATATGTTACAATCTGAAAGCCTTTTGATGTAGTATTTCGTAAACAAGTGATTGATTTATGAGTGCTAACCATTTGTTTTTCTCATATTTGCACTTCCGAAGTTTAATTAATTATTGAATTTTTGCGTTGGTATTCCGTCATTTACCCTTCATTAATGCTGTAATGCGATGGTGCCCGATTGTCCCAGCGTTGTAAACGTTGTCCTAAAGTTCACAAAGAGGCAGGGATCATTTTTTACTTTGAGTAAGGTCATATTTACTCAAAAAAATGCTTTTTTTCAATTGATACACCCTGTCAGTGTATGAAGGAAAGGAGTTAGAGATAGCCCTTGGCTTACAAGACGCGCCTTGTAACGCTTTACTGAGCCATCAGCACGTTCACTTTGGGCAAACGTAACAACATTGCATGGAGATGAGCACACGGTAATCTGAGGCAAAGTAGAGATGGGTGGGGGTGAATATCTGGATTCTTATACATAAGCAAAGATAAAGCAAAAGGGAAAAGTAGCAGGTAATACTAACCGGGATAGCACTTAGTCTTCAGTGAATTTCAAAAGAAAATGGAGAATACTTACCAAGGCAGAATAAGAGATCCTTGTTCTGGTCTTGTTAAGCTAAAGGAATAAAATACTTGATAAGGATAGAACAATAATTGACGTCACAATCGATGGTGTTGTAATGAAATGATCTCCAAATATTACACATAGGACACCAATGTGTAATCAAACGTTAAAACCATGGATTCGACGAAAATAACAAAATTTACCTTTGAACTTCGGGTCGCAACCTGTTGAGCTCAAGAGGGCGCGTTCTGAAAATCTGTACCAGCGAGCCACACACAAGCAAATAAAAGTGTTAGTGAATCGCGCTGCACATAAAATATTGCAAAGAACCAATGCTAACGTCTGACACTGCGGCTAATCGTATACTAAAACTGTAATTAATACTCAAAAAGGAGCAATAATTCGAATGACTTTACACTAGTAAAATCAAAATTTGGTCGGGTCCGACTGTCCTTACAGTCCGAGTATAACAACATAAACAAGAAAAGATACGATATGGTGTACAAATAACTAAGTTTATGCAATATATCCAATTCAAAACATAAACAAGATAATATGAGCCGAGTGTTCGGAGTAAACAAAAACGTAGCTAAAAATTGTAGATCTCAGCTTCGTAGCAAGCTTCGGTAACTTCAAAAACTAACTCACCAAGTAACGGTACTAATATCGATATATTACAGCTAAAATGAAGGATACAATGTAATCGAACTAACGTGGAAATCGGAAAGTAACATAAACAAAATCGGTATCGGTCGGCAACGACAGAAGTAGTGTAAGTAAAATCAGATGTATCGGGGCAATTTACAAGATTGTTAACCTCTTAGGTGTCGTTATACTGGCAGTTACAATTCCGGAACAAATTTACAAATATCGAAGTGTAGGTCAACAAACTTCATGTACTTACGTTATATACAGGTAAAATTAGGTGTCGCGTCGTTCGTTACTCTTGCAAAAATGGTGGGTCCAAATAAATCATCCACGTACTACGTCGGTAATGCGTAAATATCCAAGTAGGTCGAACGTAAAAGGTAATTCAAAAGAAATCACGATAAGAACTTAAAGTAAACTTGTGATAGAAAGGCGAGGAAAGCTAAAAGTAAAACTTGAGCGAAGGTTAAGCCCTAAAAATATTCTGTGTTATAATGTAACATAGCTCGAATTGTTTAACTGCAAAATACTAATCCGTAAAAACGTTTCGATGGAGTTACCAAGACATCAAAGAGAAAGAGAGAACCACTAA